TTTCTTGGTATTTGTATGTGTTGATACGATTTTTAAGTCACTTTCCCAAGTTATGTCATATGAGTCAATCAGCTTGTAATGCTTGAACTTTCGTCGTCTGGCTAACCACATACATGTATGCACATGCGTATGTGATTGCGGCTGGCTATACTTTATTGTGTTGCTCGCAAATATGCAGATGATGTATAACTTGACAAACTACATCAAATTTATGCCTGCAAATACTTTCATGTTCTGTTAATATGCTTGGTAGAATCTGCAAAACAAACATTTCATATATGTGCACAATATTAACATCTATATCTTTATAGCTTGGAATTGTCTGTATAAAGCGGAACTATTTATACAGCTCTTTTATGGCAAACGTATGTTTTACGCATGCATATACAATTTTTCAGGTACTCATATCAGTTTAGTGCGTATGAAATGATCCACAATACATACCTATCGAATTAATACAAGTTGACCATTGGTACTTCACATAGAATAAAGTACACAGCTATAGCCACATATTGCTTTCTGGTAGCATCGCACATTAATATATTGTGCTTTGTTGTACAATCATACTGTTACGCAATCATTCCACTTCTTTGTGGACGCCCATCATAGCAGTGAAGTGTATGAAAAATCAAGCTGTCAGTTTACTAGTATGTGTAATAGTCTAATGAATGACAAGAAATCAATACGCACCCATTTACCCATAATATTGATTTTTTAAGGTTTTTATTCAGTCACCCTTATCAATGGCGATAATTAATCTCATTACATATTGCGCTCTCAAGCTCGTAAATACTGCGGCGGAATTTGACCCAGCGGCTGCGATGTAGAGAAACAATACCAAGCGAGTACATGAGATAAACGTTAGTGCCGTCCGACAAGTAGAAGGATATATATGTATATGTATATATGTATATGTAAATGGAAATGAACATGGACAAAACACATTCTCCTAGACCATACAGCACTAATATAGATACTAAAGCCCTCATGGATTAAACCATACGCATACAATGTAAACACCTTAACAGAATCGGTTTCCAAAACATCTTCCCAGACCATACACTATCAATATAGAGGCTTAAAGCCCTCATGAAGAAAAAAAGATACATATACAATGCAACACCACAACATAATTAGAATACAAAACATCCTCCCGGAACATACACCATCAATAAAGTGGTTTAAAGCCTGCAAAATTTAAAACTAATATCATAGATATACAATACAACACCATAGAAAAATCAGTTTACTACACACCCTCCCAGACCATACACCATCGATATAGAGACATAAAAGCCCACATAGGTTAGAAACCATGGATATACAATACAAACACCATAGAAAAACAGTCTACAACACATCCTCCCAGACCATCCACCATCAATATACAGGCCTAAAAGCCCACATAGGTTAAAAACTATAGATAAACAATTCAAACACCATAGAAAAACAGTCTACAACACACCCTCCCAGACCATACACCATCAATATACAGGCTTAAAAGCCCACAGGTTAAAAGCAATACATATACAATACAAACACCATAGAAAAACAGTCTACAACACACCCTCCCAGACCATACACCACCAATATACAGCCTTAAAAGTCCTCACAGATGTTAACCCATACCATTAGTTCCTTATATTGCCTTAGGCTCTCCGAGGCATTCCACTGCGCAAAGTTGAGCAGATGCAGTGCCCCGGCCTCATTCAATGTGCTCTGCTGCACCAGCGCAGCCACCGCTGCCTTTTGGGCAGGGTCTAAGTTTGCGGCCGCTGTGGGTGGCACCTGTGCATGCATAGTGCGAAGAAACCGATACTATTTAGTGACCTATCGGTCGAGTTCAGGGGACAAGTGAGACGTGATAGACTAGGATTGGACTTGAAGAAAATGCGCCAGTCTTCGCGTGTAGATAGATAGAGCAGGAAGGATCTAGAGGAATTCTCGTTGTACCGACCTACAGGTGAACGGAAGGAGACAACAAAATACACTCACATTGTACGAGCCCACACGTAGTGAGGAGTGTATCGATAGTCGGTGTGGTAAATGGAGGTCATAGCACACTCCGCACTATAGTGCGGTGAAGACAGCCGCTATCTATCGTGGCTGAAGGTTAGGCTGAGTGGTGGTGAGTGTTATTCTATGAAGCAGCAGCATGTGCACTCCCGAACCACTGTGGACCAAAGAATGTGTAGTGTCTGGACTATTGAAAGGCACACTAAAGCAAACACCACGCCGCAGGTGCAATTGGTTATGGCGAGTTGTTAACCTACCTATCCACCACAGCTATACACCTTGACGACAAAAGCAAGTTCACGACACTGCGAAATAGAGCCAGCTACAGATGGGTCCACACGATCGCAAGCACACACGCTGCAATATGCATACATAAAACTACACATAT